TTACAACTGTCAAGAGTGTTTACAACTGTCAAGACTGTTTACAACTGTCAAGACTGTTTACAACTGTCAAGACTGTTTACAACTGTGAAAAAGCTGCCAGAAGTTTGAAGTTTTTTACACGTGTCAAGATTTTATTTGACAGGTGTCAAGGCTTGAAGCTTAGTAAGCAGATGTGTCAAGTGTTGCAGCTGTCAACACCTGTCAAGATTCTCTCCTTATTAACAACTTAAACCCAGAGGTAAGAATTCTTACTTTGTGTGATGGGTGACTGTGATGGGTGACTGTGATGGGTGACTGTGATGGGTGACTGTGGGTGTGAGTGATGGGTAACTGTGATGGGTGACTGTGATGAGTAACTGTGGTGACTGTGATGGGTAATTGTGGGTGCGAGTGATGGGTGACTGTGAGGTAGAGTGATAGTGAGGTAGTGTGAGGGGCTAGAACATGAGATCCATGAAGACTACTGTGAAACAGGGTGAGTATGAGGGTGAGCATGAGTACAAGTCAAGGTGAGCATGAGAATACACAAAACAATAATACAACCTGAGTATGTTGTGGGAAGGTGAGGGATACACGGGTACTAGGTGAGGGATACACGGGTACTAGGTGAGGGATACACGGGTACTAGGTGAGGGATACATGGGTACTAGGTGAGGGATACATGGGTACTAGGTGAGGGATACATACGGGTACTAAGGTGAGGGATACGTGGGTACTAGGTGAGGGATACATGGGTACTAGGTGAGGGATACACGGGTACTAGGTGAGGGATACACGGGTACTAGGTGAGGGATACATGGGTACTAGGTGAGGGATACACGGGTACTAGGTGAGGGATACACGGGTACTAGGTGAGGGATACACGGTACTAGGTGAGGGATACACGGGTACTAGGTGAGGGATACATGGGTACTAGGTGAGGGATACATGGGTACTAGGTGAGGGATACACGGGTACTAGGTGAGGGATACACGGGTACTAGGTGAGGGATACACGGGTACTAGGTGAGGGATACATGGGTACTAGGTGAGAGATACACGGGTACTAGGTGAGGGATACACGGGTACTAGGTGAAGGATATACGGGTACTAGGTGAGGGATACACGGGTACTAGGTGAGGAATACACGGGTACTAGGTGAAGGACACACGGGTATTAGGTGAGGGATACATGGGTACTAGGTGAGGGATACATGGGTACTAGGTGAGAGATACACGGGTACTAGGTGAGGGATACATGGATACTAGGTGAGAGATACACGGGTACTAGGTGAGGGATACACGGGTACTAGGTGAGGGATACACGGGTACTAGGTGAGGGATACACGGGTACTAGGTGAGGGATACACGGGTACTAAGTGAGGGATACACGGATACTAGGTGAGATACACGGGTACTAGGTGAGGGATACACGGGCACTAGGTGAGGGATACACGGGTACTAGGTGAGGTATACACGGGTACTATTTAAGGAATACACGGGTACTAGGTAAAGGACACACGGGTACCAGGTGAGGGATACACGGGCATTAGGTGAGGGATACACGGGTACTAGGTGAGAGATACACGGGTACTAGGTGAGGGATACACGGGCACTAGGTGAAGGATACACGGGTACTAGGTGAGGGATACACGGGTACTAGGTGAGAGATACACGGGTATTAGGGGAGGGATACAGGGGTACTAGGTGAGATACACGGGTATTAGGGGAGGGATACAGGGGTATTAGGGGAGGAATACACGGGTATTAGGGGAGGGATGCAGGAGTACTAGGGGAGGAATACACAAGTACTAGGGACACAGAGATACCACAAGGTATACTCACGCGTGCCGTTGAGATTACGAGAGAGAATCTTGTTGCCGTGCGAGACGTAGCCTAGAAGCGGGTGATGTAGCGGAGGCTGTTGTTGTTGCTGCTGCTGTTGTTGCTGTCCCTGTTGTTGCTGCTGCTGTTGTGGGTTTGAGGGACCGGGAACGGGCATAGCTGGGGTGAGAGCGCCCACTGACCCACCTCCCACTGATCCCGTGCTTGTAGATGCGGGAAGAATGGGACCGGAAGGTCCTACGACAGATGGAGGGATGATAGAGAGAGGTCCGCCGCTAGCCGATCCTCCCGACGCTGAACGATCTGACGGAGCGGATACCGGTGGCGCGGGTGTGGGTGTAGATGGAGGCGCGGGTGTGTTGGGCGCCGAGTGGGTGGCGGTAGACGCGGGCGGGTATTGGGTGTCGTTCAGGCCTGACATGTGTGGGAGATGTGGGTGTAGGTGGCCGGGTTCTCCTTTGATAGGCACCAGAGTGTTTGGGTAGGTGTGACACCTGTTGTCAGAGGTGGGCGGCACCACAGGCTCGGCGGCGTGGGCGGAGCGCGAGGTGGGTGGCACGAGCAGCATCGATGGGTTGGGGGGTCACATGGTGGGTGGGGGGAAATGTGGGCGGCAGGGAGGGCGGTAGCAGCCAGGTGGGCGGCCCCGACCAGATGAGGAGTGTTCACCCCAGCACCAACACCTGAAACACAAGGATTTAAAACATTAACACCTGTGAGGCAACACTATACACACAACACTATACACACAACACTATACACACAACACTAATACACACAACACTATACACACAACACGTATACACACAACACTATACACACAACACTATACACACAACACTAAAACACACAACACAATACACACAACACTATACACACAACACTATACACACAACACTATACACACAACACAATACACACAACACAATACACACAACACTATACACACAACACAATACACACAACACAATACACACAACACTATACACACAACACTATACACACAACACAATACACACAACACAATACACACAACACTATACACACAACACAATACACACAATTATATAAACACACATTATACAACAATAATAGAACATAAATAAACAGATCATAAAAATAATAAAGTATATACAATTAAACGTTCATAACAAACCCAGTACGTATATCACATGTATATACACTGAAGTGTATACTCAGTGAAATACACACGAGAGTGTAAATCTCAGTGTAATATACACTGAGAGGTTATATCCCATGTAATATACAACTCCAGAGAGGTGTATATCAACAATGTATATACACGAGAGGTGTATATCACAGATATATACACTGAGAGGTATATCTCAGTTATATACACTGAAGGTGTATATCACAAATGATATACAAATGAAGAGTATATCTCAGTGTATATACACAGAAATTAATACACAGAGTATATACACAGAGAGGTGTATACCATCAGTGAATACACTGGCATTACATTAATCAGTATTTAGTAATTAAAGTATTCTTGACTGTGGTGACAGGTGACCTGCAGCCAATAGACCCTGTGTATAATAGACTTACAACCCCAATAACCAACCTTATATAACCTGTTAGTAAATAACATTAAACCCAATTAACAACCTTAAGACCCTGGTGTAATAGATAACTTTAACCCCATTAATCCAACCTTAATGACCCTGGTAGTAGATAGACATTTAAACCCCATAACCAACCTTAATACCCTGGTGTAGTAGATAAACTTTAAACCCCATTAACCAACCTTAAATGACCCAGGGGTATAGATAGATTTAAACCCCATTAACCAACTTAATGACCCTGGTGTATATAATAGAATGTAAACCTCCATTAACCAACCTAATGACCCTCGTGTATAGTAATAGACTTAAAACCCCATTAACTCAACCTTAATGATCCCAGTGTATAATAGACTTAAACCCATTAACCAACCTTAATTACTCTGGTAGTATAGATAGACTTTAAACCCATTAATACACCTTAATGACCCTGGTGTATAATAGACTTTAATACCTCCATTAACCAACACTTAAGATGATCCCTCGTGTATATAGATAGAGATTATAATCCCAATTAACCAAACCCTTTAGACCCTGGGGTATAATAGACTTATAAAACCCATTAACCAACCTATAAATGACCCTGGTGTAGTAGATAGACTTTAAACACTGCATTAACCAACTTAATGAATCTCGTGTATTAAAGACTTAAACCCATTAACCAACCTTAATGACCCTGGTGTAGTAGATAGACTTTAAAACCCCATTAACCAACCTTAATGACCCTCGTGTAGTAGATAGACTTTAAACCCCATTAACCAACCTTAATGACCCTCGTGTAGTAGATAGACTTTAAACCCCATTAACCAGCCTTAATGACCCTGTGTAGTAGATAGACTTTAAACCCCATTAACCAACCTTAATGACCCTCGTGTAGTAGATAGACTTTAAACCCCATTAACCAACCTTAATGACACTGTGTAGTAGATAGACTTTAAACCCATTAACCAACCTTAATGACCCTGGTGTAGTAGATAGACTTTAAACCCCATTAACCACCTAAATGACCCTGGTGTAGTAGATAGACTTTAAACCCCATTAACCAACCTTAATGACCCTCGTGTAGTAGATAGACTTTAAATCCCATTAACAACCTTAATGACCCTGGTGTAGTAGTAGACTTAAAAGACCCCATTAACCAACCTTAATGACCTTGGTGTAGTAAATAACTATTAAACCCCATTAACCAACCTAAATGACCCTCGTGTAGTAGATAGACTTTAAATACCATTAACCATGCCTATATATGACCCTGGTGTAGTAGATAGACTTAAACCCCATTAAACCCAAACCTAATGACCCTCGTTGTTAGAAAGACTTTTTAACCCACATAACCAACCTTAATGACCCTCGTTATTAGATATACTTTAAATACCATTAACAACATATAATAACCTGTTAAGTAGATAACTATTAAAACCCATATAACCAACCTTATAATGACCCGTGTAGTAATAGACTTTAAACCCCATTAACCAATTAATGACCTTTAGTAATATAACTTAAAACATTTTATATTAATATAAAAATTAATAATTTTGTACCAAAAGAACCTTAGAAAACTTACCTGACCTTATTATAACAAGCCCAACTTAATTTACCCTAATACAACTAAATATATTTTAGATAGGTTTACAATAATTTAATAATAAACAAACACAATGAAATATATATTTTTTTCGTTAAGTTCAGAATAAATTTTGCGAAATTACTGCATACACAAATTTTAGCTTGTCTTATTCGGCAAGAAGAGCGTTGCTTTTTAAGCCAAAATAGCAAGTTTTACTTATTCGTCACAAACATTATATATATATATATAAAATATATATTTATATATATATATATAATATTTTTATATATATATATAATAATATTTTGCAAGAATTCGCAAGAGCAAGGCGAAATATACACAAAAACTGATCTCTGGCTGAAGGAGATTCGAACCTACGAAACCTTGGAACAAGGTACGCAGTGCTTTACCAATCTACCACAACCTGGACAATACCTTGGCATCCAGCTTGCGCTAGACTTTGATCCAAGGCAGCCACTTTCAGGGAGAAGGCTTACAGCTTTTCATCTCATCCCCTGCATGAATTCCTTGCATTGTTAATATCTCTAGTAAGGCTGATGCATGCAGGGGATGAGATGAAAATCTGTAAGCCTTTTCCCTAAAGCTGGCTGCCTTGGATCAAATTTCTAGCGCAAGCTGGACGCCAAGGTTTTTGTCCAGTGTGGTAGAATGGTATAGCACTGCTTACCTTGCTCCAAGGTTCGTAGGTTCGATCTCCTTCAGCCAGAGATCATATTTGTGTATATTTCGACTGCTCTTAAAAATTTCCTTGCAAATATAATAATATAAATATATATATATATTATATATATATATATATATATAATATAATATTATATATATATTTTAATCTCTTTAGATAAGCAGACCAAAAATTTAAGGGAATACAATAATGAGAAGCAGTGACAGTAGGTCAAAATATGTTGGATGAGTCAGTAAAAGAAATTTAAAAGAAATCTTGGAAATGTTTTGTGGTTTAAAATAGAACAAGACGAAGATAGTATACTAGAAATGTTTTGTGGTTGTAAAATGTGTTAAGAGAATGTCTGAGTACAGAGGAATTCTTGGAAAAAAATGTTAGAGCAGGGAAAATGTAGCAGCAGTCAGGAGGACAAGAACTGTTTGCTGTTCTCACTGCAACACTGTACACATTCTGCAACACTGTACACATTCTGCAACACTGTACACATTCTGCAACACTGTACACATTCTGCAACACTGTACACATTCTGCAACACACACTGCAGAACTGTACACATACTGCAACACTGTACACACACTACACACACACACTGCAACACTGTACGCATTCTGCAACACACTTCAGAAATGCACACACACTATACACACACACACACTGCAACACTGTACAAACACACTACGACACTGTACAAACGCACCAACACACTACAGTATATTACCTCTCTATTATCTTAGTAAATATATCAGCGAGTGTATCTTGTAGTTTAACACTGCCTGTGAGTCCACTTTATTTAACACTCAGAGTTTGCTATCTTCCTCATTTCTGGAAGTTCCTCTGTATCAAGTGAATTGTACAAAATTTTAATAAGTTGTGCACAGTGCTTCTGCTGCCTCTCTCACCATCCACACAGACAACTTATCCCACTGTCTTCCAGGTATCTAACTGCCTCTCTCACCCTCCACAAAAGACAACTTCTCCCCACTGTTTTCCCAGGTAGCTAACTGCCTCTCTCACCATCCACACAGACAACTTCTCCCACTGTCTTCCAGGTATCTAACTGCCTCTCTCACCATCCACATAGACAACTTCTCCCACTGTCTTCCAGGTATCTAACTGCCTCTCTCACCATCCACACAGACAACTTCTCCCACTGTCTTCCAGGTAGCTAACTGCCTCTCTCCCCATCCCCCACAGACAACTTCTACCACTGTCTTTCCAGGTAGCTAATGCCTCTCCCCACCATCCACACAGACAACACTACCACTGTCTTCCAGGAATCTACTGTCTCTCTCACCATCCACACAGACAATTTACCACTGTCTTCCAGGTAGCTAACTGCCTCTCTCACCATCCACACAGACAACTTCTCCCACTGTCTTCCAGGTATCTAACTGCCTCTCTCACCATCCACACAGACAACTTCTACCACTGTCTTCCAGGTATCTAACTGTCTCTCTCACCATCCACACAGACAACTTCTCCCACTGTCTTCCAGGTAGCTAACTGCCTCTCTCACCATCCACACAGACAACTTCTCCCACTGTCTTCCAGGCATCTAACTGCCTCTCTCACCATCCACCAGAAAACTTCTCCTACTTCTCCGGGTATCTAACTGCCTCTCTCACCATCCACACAGACAACTTCTCCCACTGTTTTCCAGGTATCTAACTGCCTCTCTCACCATCCACACAGACAACTTCTCCCACTGTCTTCCAGGTATCTAACTGCCTCTCTCGCCATCCCACACAAAACAACTTCTCCCACTGTCTTCCCGGGTTCTAATTGCCTCTCTCACATCCAAACAGAAAAACTAAAACTTCCC